TAGTAGAGACGGGGTTTCACCATGTTGACCAGGATGGTCTCGATCTCTTGACCTTGTGATCCACCCGCCTCGGCCTCCCAAAGTGCTGGGATTACAGGCGTGAGTCACCGCGCCCGGCCGGGTTGGCCTACTCTTAACACCTTCGTCACTCAGCAGCCTCACATGGCTCTGTTCCTCTCAGGCATGGGTAAATTTCAGTGGGTGAGAAGTGGAGTTGTTGAGAGGGTAAGATCTAACTCCTTTCCCTAATTCTTGGATAATTTTATGTGTAATTGGTACAGTGTTCTGCACATGGCAAGTAACTGTAAGATACTTTGGATCTAACATTAACCCAAACTGGTAAAGAATCAGTGGAGGTACAAATATTTATTAGATTAAAAATTTCCTTTCAATACAGTTTTTATTCTGAGTTCACACAGGAGTTTGGCTTTTCTTAAATCAGTGGTTCTCAGTCCAGGGTGATTTTTCCCAAGGGGACATTTGGCAGCGCATCTGGAGGCATTTTTGGTGTAACAGCTGAGGTGTGGAGTGCTACTCAGGGATGTTTCTAAACAACCTGCATTGCATAGGCAGCCCCCAACAGCAAGGAATTTTCCAGTCCAAACCTCAGTAGTGCAAGGTTGAGACATCCTGGTTTAGAGTTTGATACAGCATAAGCATTTTATAACAATAAGTGACCAGGGATTCAGAATGACAGCATTTTCCAGGTAGAGAATTTTGAGTCATGGGGCCTGGGTTTAAGTACGTTCCAGCACTAGGCCATAGTGAAACACGATGCAAGAGGTGACTGGGAGAGTGGTATAGTGGGAAGAACATGGCTTTTGGGGGTGAGCTAAATATGAGTTCATTTTGATTCCAATTCTTGTGCTTCCGTTTTCAGATCTGAAAATGGGGTTGATGCTTAGCTCCTGGAGCTATGGTGAGGAAACCGCTTAGCATAGTGCTTGGCATATAGAAACCACTGAAATAGGTACTACTGTTGCTTTAGGCACCTCTCCTAGAGGGGAGAAAACAGGCCCACAAAGGCAAACACATTTGCTTAAGGTGATAGAACGCATTTGAAACTGAGCCTGGGCCTCCTGCGATGGCTCATGCCTGTAATCCCAGCACTTTGGGAGGCTGAGGTGGGCAGATCACAAGATCAGGAATTCAAAACCAGTCTGGCTGATATGGTGAAACCCCATCTCTACTAGAAATTCAAAAATTAATCGGGCCTGGTGGCATGCACCTGTAGTCCCAGCTAGTCAGGAGGCTGAGGCAGGAGAATCACTTGAACCCAGGAGGTGGAGGTTGCCAGCTAGGGTGGCAGAGTGAGACTCCATCTAAAAAACAAAAAAAACAAAAAACAAAACAAAACAAAAAAACAAAACTCAGCCTGGTCTAGGAAGCTGGACCTGCAAATTTTAAGTCCTCTGTTTTTATACAAAATAGGGGCAATGAAGTAGAAAGCTGTGTAACATAAATGTACCACAATTATTGTCCTGTAATTATTTTTGGCTTAAAATTTTTATAGAAGTCATATATGCTTTTTCGAAAATTAAAAAGAAAAATACGGACCAGGTGCAGTGGCTCACACCTGTAAGCCCAGCACTTTGGGAGGCTGAGGCAAGAGGATCACTTGAGACCAGGAGTTCAAGACCAGCCTGGGCAACACAGGAGACCCGTCTCTATTAAATAAATAAATATGTAGATACAGAAGTATATAAAAATAGAGTGAAAGTCTTACCCATCCTAGCCTCCGGAGACACTTAAAACTGATTTGAAATGTCTTTTCTCTCTTAATATATGTGTATACAAAATTACACACATGCACACACACAAACTGTCCTGTAAACTTGTTTTTACTCTTAAGTATTGGGTTTGTTTTCATGTTGATATATATTGTTTCTTCTTCTTTTTTAAAAATTTATTATTATTATTTTTTGAGACTGAGTTTTGCTCTGTTGCCCAGGCTGGAGTATAGTAGCATGATCTCTGCTCACGGCAACCTCTGTCTCCCAGGTTCAAGCAATTCTCCTGCCTCAGCCTCGCAAGTAGCTGGGATTACAGGCGTGCACCACTACACCTGGCTAATTTTTCTATTTTTAGTAGAGATGGGGTTTTACCGTGTTGGAGAGGCTCATCTGGAACTCCTGACCTCAAGAGATCTGCCCGCCTTATTGTCCTCCCAAAGTGCTGGGATTACAGGCGTGAGCCACCATGCCCAGTCTTTTAAACAGCTACACAGTATTCTGTTATTGGGCCATAATTTATCCACTTTATTGACCTATATCTGGATTATTTATTAGGATTCTCTCGATTGAAAGAGGGAAATTCCAACTCAAACTTGTCTAAGCTAAAAGGGGAATTAATTACCTCCTTGATATAGTGAAGTGACTAAGCACATTGGCTCAAAGCTAGATGTCTACATTCACTGACCAAGTTACTACGTAACTCAGTTTCCACATTTATAAAGTGAGGAAGATAATAGTATCTACTTAAGATAATGCATGTAAGGTACTTAGGACACTTGAAATGTTGGCTGTATTATACAAAACTATACTTAAAAAAAACCACTTCCTTTTTTGACTTAATATTAATGGATATTTTTCCAAGTCTATACATTTAGATCTATGTCATTAAAAACACTTGCATGTATTCTGTTATATGGACATACCATAATTTGTTTATTCAGTCTCATCCTGATGGACATTTAAGTTATTTCTCATTTTCACTATCACAAATAATGCCGAAATTACGTCTTTTATTTCTTTTTATTTACTTATTTATTTATTAAATGAAAACTTTTCTTTTAGTAGAGATGGGTCTCACTATGTTGTCCAGGCTGGAGTGCAGTGGCTATTCACAGGCAAGATACTGCTACTGATCAGCACCAGAATTTTGACCTGGTCTGTTTCTGACCTGGGCTGGTTCACCCCTTCTTAGGCAACCTGTGGTCCCCTGCTCCCAGAAGGTCACCATATTGATGCTGAACTTAATGCGGACACCCATAGGCATAGCACACTACAGCCCAGAATACCTGGACACAAGCAATCGTCCTGCCTCAGCCTCTTGAGTAGCTGGGACTACAGGCATGCACCACAACGTCTAGGTTTCATGCCTTTGTACACATGCCCTTCCTTGTTTGAGCACATTGTGTAGGATAAATTCATAAGATTGTCATTACTTTGTCAGAAGATACATAAATTTAAAACATTGAAAGGGATTGCAAAACCATTATGAAAAGGACACACCTGTCTACATCCTCCATGACAAATGAGTACTTGGTTCTTCTTTCTACTACTATTGAATTATAGAAGCAGTGCTGCCCCAAATCTGCTTAGTCAGAGTTGTTCTGCAAACTCAGTTTGCATCCATTCTTTTTATTTTATTTTATTTTTTAATTTAATTTGAGACAGAATCTCTCTGTCAGCCAGGCTGGAATGCAGTGGCATCATCTTGGCTCACTGCAACCTCTGTCTTCCCTGCTCGAGCAATTCCCCTGCCTCATCCTCTAGAGTAGCTGAGAATACAGGCGTGTGGCACTGTGCCCAGCTAATTTATGTATTTTTAGTAGAGATGGGGTTTCACCATGTTGACCAGGCTGGTCTCGAACTCCTGACCTCAGGTGATCTGCCCGCCTTGGCCTCCCAAAGTACTGGGTTTACGGGCATGAGCCACTGTGCCTGACCAGCATTCATTCTTTATTGACGAATTCTTTTTTCCCCCTTAATGTTCTTCTTTAAAAGTGGCATAGTAATTATAGTTGTCTCAATCAAGTAAATGGTGAGCAGAAAGTGCAACAATCTATGGAGAGTTCTAGAATAGAAGGTGCCCAAGGATGGAGATCCTCCAAGTCTTGCTCATCACGGTATTTTCAGTGCTCACAGTGCATATCTGTTGGTTGACGAAATGAAAATACAGCTTAGGAGGCTCACAAAATAATGACAAAAAAAACACTAACCTCCATGAATTTCCTTCCTGCAAGAACAGGCAAGATAACTCAAACCAGAAACCCACACACCACAAAGAAGACAAGGTTTTGACTTGCCCAACAGCCAATTTCATTTTCTCCTATGTTACTCTGAAAAAGGTAACAATGCTACATGCCCAGATGATCTTGAACAGTTCCAGGAGCATACCTTAAACTGCTTTAGAGTCTTCCTTTAATTTTATTGATTTATTTATTCATTTTTGAGGCAGAGTCTTGCTCTATCGCCCAGGTTGGAGCGCAGTGGTACGATCTCAGCTTACTGCAACCTCCGCCTTCTGGGTTCA